TTCTGAGGATCCAGGTACAAGTGCAGGGCATAGTTGCTTTTCATTATAAGCCTCTTAATACGTGTGTGTGTGTGTGTGTGTGTGTGTGTGTGTGTGTGTGTGTGTTTTGAAAGAAGTCTTACTGTGTTGCCCCTGTTAGTCTCAAACTCCTGGTGTCAAGTGATCCCCTACTGTGGCCTCCAAAAATGCTGAAATTACAGGTGTGAGCTACTGTGCCTGGCCAGCCTCTTCGTAATATTTTAAATCCTAGATGCAAAAATTGAAATAGAACTGAAAAAGTACAGAGTTTGAGTTTTAAGTGTTAAGTTTTAAAGGTTGTGGAGGTTTAGGTAAGAGGAGGAATAAGTAATCTAGGGTACAGGTAAAAAGCCTGTATAATGTCAGGGAGGTGTAGGATTGTATAGTATGTTTTGGGACTTTCTAGCAGATAGGAATGGTTGGAGAGAAAGGTGATTTAGAAGAATGGCAGTTGATTCTTTACCAGATTGAGGAGGATCTTACAGTATTTTTTTTTTTTTTTTTTTGAAAAAGTTAATGTAATTTGTGTCATGAAAACAAGTTTTAGTAATATAAATTATATAAATAAGCTCTTTCAGATTTCCTACACCTATAACATATACAATTTCTTCCTCATTTGAAAATCACTGAAATTTGAACTGAGAGCTGGTAAGATCACTTTAGCATGTATTAGAAATTACACTGTTGGCATTGTAAGAGTTAGATTTGAAGGAAAGATAGACTGATAGTAAGACCACCAATTGAGAAACTGTTATAAAAGTCCAGACCAAAGGTAATGGGTGCCTGAAGTAGAGCAATGTCATTTGGAACAGAGTAAGAGGGCCAGGTACATGTTTCAACATGTTTAGGAGGCATTCTTGTTTGGACAGGCTCCACCAATTCCTTTAAAACTGAAGCCTGATTACTGGAGTGACAAACTACAGAAAGAAGCAGAAGCGTTTGCTTATTATCGCCGGACACACACTGCCAATGAGCGGCGGCGGCGTGGTGAAATGAGGGATCTCTTTGAGAAATTAAAGATCACATTGGGATTACTTCATTCTTCCAAGGTTTCCAAAAGTCACATTCTTACTCGAGTAAGTGTTCTGTGTAAAGTACAATAACAGCTTGACTAAGAGATTGTTACAGATGATATGAGAAAGGGAATCCATTGACATATAAGGGAGATTGAAATAGAGCTACTTAAAACTAACAGTTGAATATGAACTAAATGAATGTCCAGTAAATCCCTTGGGGGAATATCATTATGCGAAATCACAGTAGCTTGTCACTGAAAGTCAGGTTCTTATTTGGCACAGCTATCCTTTCTTCAGATGGAGTCAGAAACTCTGGTTAGCCACATTGACCACATTCTCTTTACATTGGTGTTCTTGATAGCACTTAGTACAGGTTATCAGAGTGTAAAGCACAGCATGAGTGATATTTTAATACACTTAACAGTTGACAGTCATTTTAGAAGAAAATCTGAAATATTCAAGGGAGTAGAAGTTTTAACTTTGCATGTGGAATATCTAAAGTAATTTCATTTAAATTGTTTTTAAGTAGAAGTTGGAGGAATACTGGATAAGCATTCATATCCCTCTAGAGGAAAGTTATTTCGACCAGATTTTGATTAGACTAGGAGATGATCTTAAGGTTGATTATTAAAATCTAAGCAAAGCACAAGTGTTTTGTATCTCCTCACAGTAGTGGAATGCCTACTACCATTCAGTGATGCTTGTTGGAAATAATCATGGTCACATTCCTTAAAAGTGTAAGCCAGAAACCCTCTTACAGTTTAACAAAAAATAATTTCTGAAACATCAATTATTAATGGAATTTAAAAATTCTTTTAAGATACTAGATTAAGTTTTTTTTAATTAGAGAAATTGTGTAGGCCTTACCTCTGTTTAACGAAAGAGTGGATCAATTTTCAATAATATTGCTATTTCTATTTTAGGCATTCAGTGAAATTCAGGGACTAACAGATCAGGCAGACAAGTTGATAGGACAGAAAAATCTCCTGACTCGGAAACGGAATATTCTCATACGAAAAGTATCCTCTCTTTCAGGTGAGACAAGTCAATAATCTCTGGTAAAGAGCATACAGTTTTAGCAAGGAGAAGTCCTCAGTAGATCTTTCAGATACTACTAAATTGAAGTCTTGGCTCCCAGAGTTTACAGCACAGTTGTCCTTTGTCTGGGTGGGATTGTTTCTTTTGAAATGTAATCACCTTACTTTCCATAGTTTTCGGAATGTAGTTAAAGCAACTGGATTTCTGTTTCTCATTATGTGGGATAATGCAGAAAGTGATAATGTATATCTGTAATTCTCTTGTAGGTAAGACAGAAGAAGTGGTCCTGAAGAAGCTAGAGTATATTTATGCAAAACAGCAAGCACTAGAGGCACAAAAAAGAAAAAAGAAGATGGGATCAGATGAGTTCGACATGTCTCCCAGAATTAGCAAACAGCAGGAAGGATCTTCTGCATCATCTGTAGATCTTGGACA